GTATTACCTAATGTGACTATTCGCTAGTGTATGGAATTGTGATGTGTTGCTCACATTTGTTCTATGTATGTTATGATGATGATGAGCCAATGGTAAGAATATGAAAAGATGATATGATATATGCATGCATTTTACATCATAATACATTTTTCTGTTGGGTGCGATTGCATAACATGGCATGTATACTTGATTCATGACATCTTGAATATATATATATTTGTATTGAGGACATGTGACTGAGCATGCATCATATAGGCATGCCTGGTACCAGGAGAGGGGACACTTGGCTTCAGTCCGCATAGGTTCCACAGTGGGATTCACCTTCATGGGAGCCTTTAGGAATACCCACTGTGATGCTACGCGCACGACGGTGCTATGAGCGTAAAGGAAAAAGGGTGTTATATACGCGTTATTATTTATGATGAAAAGGGTTAAATGTTTGAAGTAACTATTTATGATTTTGTGCCTAGTTAATGTTGTTGCATTATGGTTTTGTTGCCACACTACTGGGATTTTCTCTCACCCCTTTGGGGCTGCTATTTTTACAAAATGGCAGGAGGACGTAAAAGCTTTTGAGGACTTGGATATTTGCTGTTGGCTTCTACTGTTTGGGCATGCTGCGATTGATGTGATATTTTATGGATGACTGTATGAAATTGAGAAGCTTTTATTACTGTGAACTATGATTTTATTATTGCATTACGATTTTATGACCAGCAAGTATTTTGGAAACAGATGTTGAAACGTTTGCGAAAAGGATTTTGACATGTTATCTAAATGCTGAGTTTTGAAAAGTCTTTGCGAGCACTTTGTAAGTTGTCGTACTGGGGCTACGGACCTCCGATTTTCTTATAATTTTATATGCACGCGTAGCCCCAGGTGTCTAGTTTCATTATATATAAACCTTGCAAAGAAATTCTGAAAGATCTATTTATTATGAATTTTACCAGCCAGGACATTTGTGATATTTCCACTATTTTCTCTCTTATTTTGCGAGTTATGTTTCGAGGGGCAAACGAACTCCAAATCACTATTATTTTATACGAACGTGAATCCCCAAATGTCTAGTTTCCAGATTACAAAGAATATATTTTTGAATCGTTGAACTGGATTTTATACGAATTTTTAAGGACAGAAAGGTCTATCAGGAAATTTATATTTTTAGTAAGTTGAAGAAATTTTGCGTATTCTGATTTTAGTAATTAACCATATCCCCTCTTTAGTTTTAATTGGCAATGTAAAAGCGATTTTTTTTCAATCTCTAAAATACTATTACAGAACTCTAATTCCGCTTAGCAAACAACTCTCTTGGAGGCCTACAAGAGAAGGTGTTACACAACTTGTATATAGTTTTCAAATATTGATAATGACATAATGTTGTAACAAACAAAATGTCATTTGTTATTACCAAAAAATTCATTTGTCTCATTTCTTTAGTTGAATATGAAAAGAAAAGATGGCTAAACAATCACACAAGTGGGGGTGAATTGTGTGTTACTTCTAATTCAGGAAACAATTCAAAAATCAACTTTTTATCAAGTATATCAACCAAAATGAATTTAACAAATTGTAAATCTTTTTCCCAATACAAAACAGAATTAAAATAATTCTTATAACATTAATTCAGAGACAATTTGCAGCGGATCAAATTTATAAGGGAAAATAGAAGCAAATCAATGTTTATGCTCACCCTTTTCAAGAAATCATACACTAACTAATTTAAACATAATACTAATGATTATCAACCCTAAAACAGATTCCATATAACATATATTATGAACAAAAACAAAATCAATTGATAGAAATCAAAAGAAATAGGGTAAGGAAGAATCATAGTGCGATATATACTGGTTCACTCTCTAACCACTTGAGAGCTACGTCTAGACTAAGGTTGATCGTTTTCATTATCATCAAGATTCCAACTGGTGCTTGAAGAAACTTTTTTACAACTGTAATTTTACAAGTCTATAATCACACCTTGATCACACTTAGCCTAAGCTATTAGGATCACTCCGATTATCTCACCAACAATTATAGTAACAAAAAATGTGTAAACAGATTTAGGGTATCCTCCCTTTATTCTTTCCCAATAGAAAAATTCGAAAAAGATTAAGAAATAAGAGAGTAATTGAGATTTTTCTCAAGCACGTGCAAAACTAAGCCAATATAGGTGCAATTATGAGTTTTCTTTGATTATGAGATTTTCAGTGTTAATTCATGTGTTTAGAATCCTAATGATATGTATTTATAGGTGCCCAATGATTTTTTAGCCATTTATAGCTGTTGGGCATCTCAAATTTTGAATTACTTATGTCATAAGTTATTTCTGACAAAAAGTATTCGATTACTTTTCAGAGGAGTATTCGAATACTTCTTCAAACCAAGAAAGTATTAAATTATTGTTCATCAAGTGTTCGATTACTTGTCAACCCAGAAAAGTATTCGATTACTTTGAAAAAAGTATCCTATTACTTTTATGCATAAATCATTTTTTATGTTGGTTTTCGAAATTCAATGCATCTAAGTGATTTCCAGTTACTTCTAAATGATTCTACGTGACTTCTGTAAGAACCCGCACCATTAATTTAGGAATTTAATTAATTAATTGTGAGCTTAAGTGAATAATTCCATAATTGACCTTAAATAATTATGGTAAGGTAAGAATAATTAATATAAAGGCTTAATAACGCTGAAAGTCCCTTTTCTGACAAAAAGTGCAAATATCGATTCTGCTCCAGGGTATAAAAGTGTACCGATGAAGTATCCCGAAAAATTATAATAAGTATGAATATTCCTAGAATAATATTTAGGACGGGTATGTCAAGTTTCGAGTCGAAATAATGATAACTGGTATCAGGACTGATACCGGCTACGTAAAAGCACGTACCGGCAAAGTGCTGCAAAAATCATAATAAAAATATGATAAATCCTAGAAAAATGGCTAGGTTCAGAATCTAAAATTTGGGATTAAAATGATTAGAGGAGCTATTAGTACTAATACCGACGCTTAAAACTTAATAAGCGTATAAATAGGCTTGGCACAGATTTTTAGGTCAGTTTCCTCACAACTCTACGTGCCTCCACTTCTGATATTGAGCCCCCTCACTTGCCACCACCTTCTCCTCTCATGGAAACCACTAAGAGACCACATTTTTCCATTGATTCTTCTCATTTAACCTTGTAAACACTATGTGGAGTGCCTTGGGAGAGTGGTGATAAACCCCTAGTTAATCTGGTTTTTCAGCATGAATTAGTATCAATTTGTGTGATTAATTGGATAAAAAAGAGGTTAATGTCCTGGAATTCCCTCAACTACAAGTTCTGAAAGCTTTGTTGAAAAATTACACTGTCTTGTAGGGAAATGAAGCTTAAGGAGCAACAGAAAGAAAGAAGAAGATTCTGGAGAAAGGGAGAATGCCTAAGTGTTGAGCGCTAAAACGTCCACACAGAATGTTTTAGCGCGCTGCTGCAAACGAAAGACAAAAGTTGCTGGTGCTGAACGCTAAAACGTTCACACAGAACGTTTTAGCGCAATGCTGCAATCTGAGGATAAAAGTTGCTGGTCTTGGGCGCTAAACCTTCCTGATCAAACGTTTTAGCGCCCTGCTGTTGGAAAAAGACTCTGGTCTCGAACGCTAAAACGTCCAAACCAAGTGTTTTAGCGTTGGAGTCAGTTGGAAGCAGTTGAGCATTCACCAGACATTGACGCTAAAAGGTTCAACAGTTCACGTTTTAGCGCCCAAGTTAGTTAAAAGCAGTTGGGCATCCGTCAAACATAGACGCTAAAACGCCCATTCATGAACGTTTTAGCGCCCATGTTAGTTTTCAGTTATAATTTGTAACACTATAAAAGGAAAGGGCCTTCACATTTGTCATAGATCTGATTCTATCTCTCTTTCTCATATCAGATCCTCTGATCTGACTTCTCTCTCTTACTTTCCAAATTCTTTAGGACTTAGTTATTGTATTAGTTAGTTTCCTATGTAATTGCACTTGAAGATTGAAGACTTACTATCAAGACAATGGAGTTTGATCTTTCTTCTTCCTTTGTTTATATTTCAATTATGTCTGAGTAGAGTTCTTTGTAGTCTGATTCAATGGAACTCAAGTTTGAATTTATGAATGGTTAATTAGATGTCTTGTTTATCTATTATGTGATTTGTATGAAGTTGTCTTGATTAATTCTTCATGTTAAGGAGTAGTGTAGAACAGACATGTTTACATTGTTTCTATATTTGACAACTTCATCATCAGTGTTCTAGTAGTCAAGACATTGATGCTAGGATTTCTGATGTGATCTTAAGACCTTAGTAATTAATGCATGTATTAAGAAAGGAATCACCAATACATTGGGGTTTCTAATTAATGTGTCTATCAAGGTAGTAAGACATTACATCTTGATGATAAGAAAAAGGTTGATCAACATTACATAGTAGATATTCATCATGGAAATTGGTTCATCCATAAATTCATTCTTGAGGGAAATTGACATCTGACTACTTGTTTTAAATTATATTCACACTTTATCTGTTTATCAATTCTTTAATTTTAATTAAAATTTAATTTCTGGTGACAAGAAATAAATGCAATTCATAATCTTTTGGTTGATTCAACTTAACAATATTTGGTTAATCAGTGCTTGACACAATTCCTCGTGGCAACGATATTTACTCATCATTTTATTACTTGTTTGACTAGTACACTTGCTAATCTGGCAACAAGTTTTTGGCGCCGTTGTCGGGGAATTTGTTTTTCAACATTGACATACACCATTAGTTGTTAAGATTGAATCTTTTATTTTCAGTATTTTATATTTTTTTTGTATGAATTTTTGTTCCATTTTAATTCTGGTGTATGCAAGGTATTTTTGATTCAACTTCTTTGTTGTTTGACCGAGAGTTAGAAAGGACAGAAGGAACAGGAGGGCAGCCAGAAGAAGGCAATTATTGGAAAGGGAGGATCCAAGTGATGAACCAAGTACTACAGTACAAGAAGAGAATATGGCAGAAAACCATGTGCAACCACCACAGAGGACACTGGGAGATTACATGAATCCTGCTGTCATTCCACCCATTGGAAGTGTGGTTCGACCTACAGTAGAGTCCAATAATTTCGAATTGAAGCCTGCACTGGTACATTTGGTGCAGAAAGAACAGTTTGCTGGAACAAGTGCAGAGGATCCATACTTGCACATTGAAAATTTCTTGCTGTTAAGTGACACTGTGAAGATTAATGAAGTGTCCAGAGATGCCATTCTTTTGAGGCTTTTTACTCATTCACTGAAGGATGATGCCAGGAGATGGCTACAGTCACTACCACAAGGAAGTATTACAACTTGGGATGACCTGCAGACCAAGTTTTTGGCCAGATTCTTTTCAGCATCCAAGAGGGCAAAGTTGAAGGATGAGATTATAGGGTTCAAGAAGAAAGAATTAGAGTCTATCTATGAGGCCTGGGAGAGGTTCAAGACACTCTTGAGGAAATGTCCATAACACGGGATAAAAGTGTGGAATCAAGCAGCAATCTTCCTCCAGGGGTTGACAACCACTACTAGGACATTGGTGAATGCCATAGCTGGTGGTTCATTGACAACCAAGACTCCTCAGGAAGCCCTGGACATCTTTGAGTCCTTAGCATCTCAGGAGTTTGACAATGCTCCAGTGAATGAGAGAAGAATGGGAATTATTAAATTGGATGGCTATGATGCTTTATTAGCTAAGAATGACCAGATGCAGCAAGTGCAGAAACAACAACAACAACAAATTGATTCTCTCACTAAGCAGCTTTCTTCTCATAAGGTTGCTTCTGTGGACACTAATTCTGTGAGTGCCAGTTGTGAGAAAAGCCATGTTACAGATGATTGTGATTGTGGGAGACCTGCTGAACAAGCAGAAGTTAATGGAGTGTGGTATGACCATAACAACCAGAGCAATTACAACAACCAGGGGCGAAATATGTATGTGCAACCATGGAAGAACAAGAATCAACACCCAGGGTTCAGTTATAGTTCCAACCATCAGTTGTACATCCTCCTCCAACACACTCATCATAGCCAAGTGATACTACTGCATGGGAGAAAGCTTTTGCCCAGTTATCAAAGACTACTCAAGATTACATCCAGGGGTCAAATTCTTTCAGGGAAGAGACTTCTGCTTTCATGTAGGAGACTAAGACAACATTCAGAAACCAGGAAGCATCCATCCAGAATTTGGAGACACAGATTGGTCAGTTGTCTAGGCAGATAGCTGAGAGGCCACAGGGAAAATTCCCTGGTGATACTATGGTGAATCCAAAGGAGCACTGCAAGTCCATAATTACAAGAAGTGGGCTTGTGCTCCAACCGGTGAACAAGAAAGTGGATGAGAAGAAAGTGGGAGAAAAGAAAAGTGAGGAGGAAGTTATTGTCGAAGACGTTGTAGTTGAAAATGATAAAGAAGAGGAAGTTGAGGAAAAGAAGAAGGAAGAAGAGGTAGTGGTTGAAAAGAGTTCTTCACCTAAGAAGTTGATGAAGTGGGAGAAGAAGAAGATGGCTGACAAGCAGGACCAGCCAATTAACCTATCTTTTTATGCTAAAGTGCCTTATCCTCAACGGTTGAAGCAGGAAATCCAGAAGCAGCACTATGCAAGGTTTCTGGATATTTTTAAGAAGTTACAGATTAACATTCCATTTGTTGAGGCCTGGAGAACATGCCTCATTATGCCAAATTTATGAAGGATCTTCTGTCTAAGAAGAGAAAATTGAAGGATGGTGAGACAATGGCTTTGACAGAAGAGTGTAGTGCTCTGATCCAAAAGAAGCTTCCACCAAAATTGAAAGATCCTGGAAGTTTCAGCATCCCTATTGCCATTGGAGATGT